CGGAAAGAAGCGATTTTGAGATTCGTGGGCACCGCTATTGGATGCGTCGCTAGGAATGGTGGTCCAAGCTCACCTCTTAGTGTCTATCAGTCGTGTTGGTGAAGATATGACTGAATAGGAGTGTTGTTCATTGATGGGCCAAGGCGTGACGCTTTAATTTCATATTAATTGTCTGTAAATTGGAGTGGATGCGCGTGGGGCATTTTGTCGACACGTATTTTTTGGTGTTTGTATGCTTGTTAGGGCGCATTTGTGAGATGGTATGGTGAGTGGGGAGTGTGTGTGGTGATCGCCCTTGCTATCGGAGCTGTTATCTGTTAGTGGCGGCTAGCGTATAGTGTGATTTTTTTTATATAATAGTTTTCGGGCTATGCACAGCGTTGTCTGGATTCGTACTTTGCTAAGTGAATTAGAGAAATCGCAACTGGGTTGGGGCCCAGATGACATCGGCCAATTCCTGAACGAGTTATTGGGCGAATGACGGACGGACTTCAAATTTGTGCGTCATTAATGGCGTCTGATGCAAGGCCTTCTGCAGCAGTAGGCTTACTAAGTCAGGGGCAACACCAAAGCCAAGCTAAACAACAGAGGCCATCGGGGCTACCTCGGCAGGGAGCGCATGTCATCTGATGCACGCGCAAAATTAAGCCTCAGCAGTGCATGTCTCGCTAAAAACTTGAATAACTTGTGAGCCTTAAGTCAGTTATATATTTATAGACTTTATAATGCCCATTATCCTTTTGTTTCATGTGTAGCTTCAAAGCTGTAGTTATGTTAGTACAGATTGTGTGAGGCTAAAACGAGTTAATATCAGTGTCTGTCTTTCCATCGCACCTGTTCGCCGCGTTTTCTCTTCTCTGCTTCCTCATAGTGGAAGGGGATCTCGATTCCTTGTTCAAGGCACTAAACGGCTACACCTTTCCTTCACCAAGCTGGCACCGCCTAAGAAAATTGGGAGCATGCCAGTGAGAGGCCCAGTTGATGTACATGTTCTTCAGGTGAGGGCAATTGTTGTCACAATTCAATGCTTGATCGTTTTTTTTACTTGTGTCTATAATAGCATTATACTTCATGGCTTATCCTTTTTGTAAGTGCATAATGGGGATCGGGCTTTTCAGCAATTACGGACAACATTTAACAAAATAGTGTTGCTGTTTTTTAAGGCTGCCTTGTCATCAGAAGGACATTCTGCTCAGCGGCAATTGATAGTGAAAGTTCTAAATAAGTTTAACCTTAAGCGTAAGCAGCTTGTGGGCAATTTGGAGCTTGTTGGAAGGCGTTCCATCCCATTGGAAGAGGCGGCCTCGTGGCAGAGCTGTTTTACTGGGCTGGTCATGTAAGCAGCTTTCAGGGCAAAACAGGAGGTTAAGGCAATTTGTTTTCATTATGTTTATTGGAAGCATGTTTTTGTATTTTGGCATTAGTACATAAAATGGTGCTGTCTTGGATTCACAAACTACATGCAAAGGCATTATAACTTCAATCATAGATGCAATATATAATAATGGAGTTAGACGGGTCTGGCTTTAAGTAGTTCTATGTTATAAGATGTTATTAGAGTATTTTTGCCCTGGGAGTTTGCTATCTCCTTTAGGCCTACCAGAAGAAATCCCACCGTCTAGCCTCGCAGAATGAGATCTCTGTCGCAGCCCGTCTCCATAGCTTGTTGATGACTCCAACTGGCCTTGTCGCCATAAAAAAGGAAGGCCACTCCCATCAGCTACATTTGCCAAGCGCAAGACCTGCATGAGGGTTTGCTATTCTATGGCCTAGTTACTACACAAAGCATGCTCACTATGCCGAAGTGTGTGGGGGCAGGCCGCATCCTTTCTGGTGTTAATGACAGAATATGAGGGCACTATCCATGAAGCGAGACCGGCAACAGCCCTCATAGCAAAAAAGGGCCCATGCTGAGATGGAAAGGCTTTCATTGGGAGAGTAGATCTTGTGGTTAGTTAGGTTGCGCCGCCAACCTGTTTCTACAATGCTCACCCCCGCAATGTCTGTTCAAGGTTGGGAGAGAATAGACATGCCCAGAAACAACTGCAGGGCCACGTACAAAACAAAGTTGGCTATATCAGCCCCATCATTTCCTTCCCAGCCCCTCCTTTGTCCTCAAACTGCAGGTAAGGCTGGCACCTTCAAAGACAGGGTCACATTGCCATAACCACCTCTCTGTGGGCATTGGCCCACATTCAGCCAGGGCAGGATGCCAAAACCGTTTGTTTGAAGGTGGCAACTAGCATGACAGATGTAATCATTGCACTTTACAAATGATCAGGCTGAGAAACTTGGCAACTTTGCTCTTTGTAATGTAATAAAAGGGCCAGAGATCATTTTTAGTCTATAATTGATGTGGCCCATTTGCTTGGCCAAGCTCATGCTCGCTTCGACGTATACAAGTGGTGAGCAGGTGGTAGTGGGCTAGTGGTTATTGTTAACATTGATATGGTAACGCCAGTATCTGTTTGGGGCATTGAACTGGAGCCACAAGAGACAAGAACCTTTGCATTAATGTTGCAGTTGTTGGATAAGTTTTGTGTCAACAAGTACAAGAGGAAAACAGTAAATTGAAGCTCTTTAAGTGTATATATTGCTTCAGTTTGTGGTTATGCAGACAACAAAGTAATGTTGATGGTTTTCAAATGTTATAATTGTAAGTTTAAATATCGTCATGATTATTCAGTACGTTTTGGTAAGAATGCATGGCTAGGTTGCTTGTTTTGAGATTGTCCTAAGCTTGAATGTTTCAGGAAATAAACAAATGGTAAAGAAAATTTGACACTTTGTTTGAGTATATTTGGCTTATGAGCCTGTGCATGGAATAGGTGTTTTTCTGGCTTGTAATTCAGGTCATTTGCCACTTTTCTAGGCATCCATGATATTTGCGTTATTTACAGAAATGATTATTCTTATTTTAAGAATTCGTTATTTCACGCATTCTTATTTCAAGATTCCTTATTCTTATTTTAAGAATTCTTATTTCACGCATTCTTATTTCAAGAATTGTTATTCTTATTTTAAGAATTCTTATTTCAAGAATTATTCTTATTTCAAGAATTATTATTCTTATTTTAAGAATTCTTATTTCAAGAATTATTCTTATTTCAAGAATTATTATTCTTATTTTAAGAATTCTTAATAAGTCTAATTATCTCACTGCACTGGCAGATTATTACACTTGTTTCAAGTCTGTATAAACTCAAATCACATATTTTTTTTCTTGTTATAAGATGGATGATTTTTGCAGTGAGTTCCCGATGTTCCGGTTTTAACCGGACTTGAACCGAAGCTTTTTACAAGTCCAGTACCGGTTCGGCGTACCGGTACGCAGCACTAGTAACTTCTGACTAACTTCTGTTAGCTATATACATATTGTTTTATCCAACCAGTTTTGGTTATTTTGGATATTTTCTCAGGACATTGTTACTGTATGTGAGGTTATTAGATGATTATTATATTGTTGCATCAAGCAGCATTTTACTGTTGTAGAGAAAAAATGTGATACACACATTATTACTGTTAAGAACCTTTGGCAATATAGTGTATCATTGTGCTGTTTTGTAACTTTTTTTAGGGATGCATTATGTCAAAGGTTTATCGCCTATTTTTAAGGTGTGCGGCGCGTCCTTTAAAATGTTTGTGCAACTGCTGTTGTTCCATTCATTCAGGCGATGTTTATTCACACTTCCTTGCAAATGCGTCTCCTTGGGGGGTGATTGATGAGGCCAGGGTTCACCGCTGAAGGAAGCGTCCTCTGGCTTGTTGGGCATACGAATGTGTGGCAGACTCTGAGAGCTAAGTGCATGGTAGGGAAAATATCTCAATGGTCACGTGAACATAAACCAAATTGATCCTGAGATTATAGTTAATGGGTCAAAGGTTAGAGGTGATTAACAGGGACAGCAGAAATAATATTAATATTGATCCAGGAATCAATAATATTTTATTAAATCAGAATATCACTCAATATGCAATCTTGAATACACATTAGCGTGTCACTTTGTCAATAAGAAGTCATTCCATGATGTCAGTGAAAAACAATTATTTGTTCTTAAAGCTTTCGGATTTAGATAAAAATGTATTCGCTGTAAACTGGTGTCCTTTTATTTGTTCTCCAACTCAAGTTATGGACTGTTCCATTTGACATCCTGTACTACGGTGGCCGACATGTGCAGACGCGCTATAACATCACAATACATTTATATTAGGAGAAACATCAGCAGCATCAGAAGTTCAGTCAGACAACTCACGTGTTTCTTTAACATGTTTATTAGAAGCAGCATATAGTTAAGTTTGGCGACTAGGCTCGGGCATCATCACTCCATGATATACATAGCACGATGAGTGATGATCAAATAACTAACCCCCGAGCCTACAGGTGGAAGCTGGGGTGGAAGCTGGGGTGGTGGTGGGGCAGGCAAGCAGCAGCGACGTAGAGGTAGCTGCAGCAATAGCAGCAGCAAGCAATGCATAGAGAGAGATCTGGCAGGTTAAATAGAGCGGCATATTAAGGAGACTCTGTTTGGTTGGTTGTAGAGTGGCAAGGGGGCGTTATGTAGGAATGCCGCATAAGTGCTCGAGTTGACTGCCTGAACTAGCTTGCAGCCTTCGCCCCATTTATGCAACTATAAAAACTGAAATATGCCAAAACACACGCAGGAGAATAAACATCCTCACCAACTTGACAACACATGCAGTGTTTAAAAAACATTCACCATCCTGAGGAAACATTCACAGCGTTTACTAAAAGTCCTGAATAAGCAAAACACAAATAAAAAAACGCTGAAAGAAGCTAAAAAAAAATAAAACCAGGGGACACTAATTGATGATGTTACACACAGCTGGGACGGGAGCGCTTGTTGATGTTCGGGGGGATTATAAAGTTGGCCAACATCACTGTGAGTGTTGGTGGAAAGTTACCAAAAACATAATTTTATCAGCTATTTAACAATTGTATTGCATGATTCCGACATTGCCGATCTGCTGTACGCTAGTTGGCTAACCAAGCTAACCTAGTAGAAGCATTTTCATCAAGTTGGTGAATGTGTTCTGAATGATGTGCATGTGTTGCCATATTAGTGAATATGTTTCTTCATTTGTATGTGTTTTGGCACCTTGCTGGTTCTATGTTTCAATCATTTTTGAAGCTGCAGCGCATTTTTGCTAAAGTAAATGTTTTGGGTCGTTGTATTTCATTTCATTTCAAACCTTTATTTATACAGATGAATCCCATTGAGATCATTGATCTCTTTTTCAAGGGAGACCTGCTCAAGTAGTTCCATATGAAACATAAAAACATAAATAGAGCAACAAAAGGACATCATACTGTTACGGTGTGTGTAGGAAGCAGGACCCAAATGCAGATTAAAGTGACAAAATAACTCCTTTATTTCAAGGCTAAACTCTAAACAAAGACTGAACTAATCAAGACTAATCATACAAACAAGACACAGGTGAGGAGGGAGGAGAAAAAAACAGGGACACCAGGTGAACACAATCGGGTAAATTAGACACACCAGGGAAACTAACGACAGGGAACCACAGACCGATCTAAACAAGACAAAACACAACGCAGACAGAAAACCAAAGACAGATCTAGACAAGACACAACGCAAACAGAAAACCAAAGACAGATCTAGACAAAACAAAACACAACACAGACAGATCGTGACATTACCCCCCCCTCAAGGGACAGATCCCAGACGTCCCAAAACAAAACCACAAAAGTCCAAAACCTCAAGCAGGGTGCGTGGAGGGGGTCAGGAGGACGGGACTTATCACTAGGCCACCAGGGTGGGTGGAGGGGGTCAGGAGGACGGGACTGAGCTGACCGCCCAGGGGCACAGCAGAGGACCAGGAAGGGATCTCGGGCGGACGGGCCCGGGGGCA